CAAGACAAGATAACTTCAAACTTTCTGTGTAATCATTCAACAAGTTGAACTGCACACAATATCAGTCAAAACTGTATGGCTCATCTCCTTCTACCTTATAGGCCACGAACTTATCAATCAGCCCTTGTAACAGTGACTCAAATGAATCAACAAGAATGTGACTCATATCAACTCAAATGATGCTGCGCACATTAATGCCTCAACTGGACCCGACTTGAGTATATGTAACTGCCTTAGAATGACTCGACATGACTTCAGCAACTCACTTCAACACAGCAGTGGGCTACTGAGTGACTTTCCCAAAATCCCGCTGAACCAGAACTTGGACGACATTCCTGCGAACAGACAGGGAGTTCTCTGTTTTTAATCATGACGAATCCCCGGCGGGGTTGATGAAGCATTTTTTGGCTGAGGGGGTTGCAGGTTTTCTATCTGTGCTTCGGTGTGCCCCCCGTGGCCCCAACTTCCTGATCGAAACGATTTTAAACTGCTACATCCATGTGTTTCTTACTCCGCTCAAAATTTACTGTTTCCTGACCATGCTTTGGTCACACATTTTGGACTCGAGGGAGATCTTCGTAGTATGTTTTTGCCTTTATTTTTGTCGTCGCAGCTGAGGAGGGAGGGAGGGGGAGATGGGAGTAGAATGTTCCACCCATTCCCCCCCCCCCCAGCCAAATATAGAGAGAGTTGCGACAACTTCAGACTGTTGAACCATAATGGCCATTCATTATGTGTACAGTGCAGCGTGCGACTATTGTGTACAAATTATATATGTGCACTGATGCATAATCCACCATTTTGGTTCCAAAGAGTGCCATCCTTATGTCGCACATCTCTCTATATACGGCTCTGCCCCCCTCCCCTGTACAAGAAAGTTTTAGTCTAGTAGTGACAAATTGTGCTAAACTTTGTATGCTATAACACTAACAGACATCAATGTTTGGTATGTGTAAAAGTTTGAAACCTTTTTTGTTAATTACATGTATTAACATCAATCATAATTCACACTACTAGTGCTCGAATTGAAGATGTACTTTCTTCAAGCCAAAAACACTAAATTGAGTGTTGGATTGCTCGGGCTAATCATAGGTCTGGATCACAGCATATCTAAATGATGTCTCAAAAATACAGAGAAAATGCTGGAAAACCCTGTTTTGTTGACATCTGACGTGGCAGCCATTTTTACTTTGCCTGTTTGGGGGGATGGGGGGATGGGGAGGATAAATCCCCCACCCCACTTTTTGAGGGGTGGGGGGGGGGCATGGGCCATTGGATCAAACCCCCCCCCCCTCCAGAATTGTGTAGTGAGAAATATGAAAAATGCAGATTCTAAGATTATTTTCTAACTTTCCAACAGCCCAAATGTATTGAATAGCGCTGGAAAATGGAGAACAAACAGTAAAAAAGCTTTAAATGCACCGTTTTGATGTACACTGTAAGGTTAGGTGTAAGCTCTCAAGTTTGCATAAGATGTACATTTGTATCATGAACAGCACCCCTTGTGTCGTGTATTGTTCCCCCCCCCCCCTCCGACACGGTTTACCCGTTCACGGATGTGTGTTGCCAATTGCAAACAAAATGTGTTCCAACTAAATTTGGTAAACTAGGGGCAGTATTTGAAAACATGTCAGTTTTTTTTCCAACGATGGTCGGCATCATCAGAAATTGACAAAAAAAATCCACTTTTCTTAAAAAAGACAGCACACCAGGTGCCATGATTTCACAGGATGCTGAGACTATTAATATTCACCTACACTTACAGTCAAGTAAGGTATTTCGTAATAATTTGACAGTTTTGTTTTTTGATGTTGTATATTACCTTTAAGATAGATTCCTGCTTAAATCTGCCTTTCAAAGCTTTGAGGGGGACTCATGCATGAAGTCCATTACCCTCCAATGATCGGCAGCACCCCATGTTTAAGAGTTTTGCCCCAAATCTTTACCACCCTATGCCTCTCATCTTTGCCTGAAGATGGAGGGCCGAGGGTCCGAGCCAGACTCAAGCATCTTAAGACCCACAGTGTTGACAGATCCAATCTGTGATGTCCTTTCCTTTCACCACCAAGTATTCCTCATAGCTGTTAGCCTTGGCCATGAGTGTTTCCATTAATCGAAAGTAATTAAAACTGATTGGCACTGGCATGAATTACCACAAGCATTCCAACGACATCCTTTTTGTTTTTAATCAGGGTAACCTTGACCAAAAGATTGATGTGTGGTGGTGGTGTTGGTCTTTATTTCCAAGTTTGTATCGTGAATTTGTTCAGTGGGGTATGTTTTTTTTCTGGTGTTTGCAGACTCTCCCTGTAAGTCTCTAATTTCCTTTAATTATAGGTAGCCAAGGTTTTCAAAGTTTGGTGACATAACAGGGTTCGCCCTTAACATTTTTTTTTCACTTGCCTGCCGGACAAGTGAACCAGACTCTTAGCTAGCTCGCAGGACTTTTCATTAGTCCGCGGTTAAGTTCGGGCATCAACCACTAGTCGACTAGTGGTTGATTTGTGACGTTCTTTACGCCTGCGCACTAATAGCAACGTGTGAACGTCTCTAGTCAAACGCTGGTCAGAATGTCATCGCAAAACTTCTGGATCCTGGCTCTCTGCTAGCGTTATGAATGCGCGCAGCTATTGGTTACCAGCGATGCAACCAGCCCCAGTAGGTTGGTTCCAAATAGTCGACTAGCGTAGTCAACCACCGTCCACTAGACAGAGTTCGGGCAAGCGTTATTCAAACTATGGTTAACCATTGGTCAACAATAGTCCTTGCGCGAACTTGGCCAAAAATAGCATTTTTAGTTTGTTTGTTTTTACACCAGAATGTCATAAGCAACAATGTTCATATATGTATAACTTTATCCTGAGGCAATCTTGTCAGTGTTTTCAACGAACATATCTAATAAAAGTGAATTGAAACAGACACAAATTGATTAATGTTTATATGAATTAAATAAATTATTTGTTAATAAATAAAATCAACTTTAAAAAAGTAATTAAATAATTATTTTTCAATTTTTAAATTATTTTTTATGGTGATTAGAATAGATCACATCACGTTTTCGACCAAAATCATTTTCAGTCCCATTCTCATTTGTGACACAAAAGTTATCAAAACTGGACCCTCAAAAAGATTTAAAAATTGGGGGGAAAATATAAAAATCGTGAAAAGAAACTTACTGTTCGTGGGGGATGGTACTGTAGCGGTACTGCCTCGGATGACTGCCCCGGCGAGTAGCGGCGAACGGCCTAGCCTCTACGGTCGGCTACGCAGATCCGTTTTGGCGGAGATTTACCGCCAGGCACGCAGCAGACTACCAAAAACAACACCCTACGACGCACTCACTCCACTCACTGGGCTGACAGACGGGGGGGATATCTTGGGGAAGGAATGGGACACTGGACACTGATTTGCGCCTACCCTTAGCTTTGGTGATTTATTCACCATTCCAGTTTCAGCCTACCTAGGTGCCTCGCCTACGTGATCATGTATTCAATCACTTGCCTTATAACCTCAGAGATTACTTAATTATGATACAAGAATCATTTGTCAATTACACTCACACAAAGTGTGAGGCTCCCTCCACTGCGACTATAGGTGATTGGTTATTGGTTGATTGCGGGAGATAAGAACTGTGCAAGAACCCTTCACAAGACCGTGCTCGGGTTACGGCCACAGCAGAAAGAGAGCGAAGCTGAGCGCGTGGCCACATATATACACTGGCGCTGTTGGCTGGTGCTCCCATTAACCTGGGTGAGTGCACGCGCACCCCACTGGCTACCAGTAAAGAACTAAAGTGCGCCCTCTATAAAATTCATTGCGCTACAGTACCGAGTGGTATCAGCGCGCATGAACTGCCATGAAAACCGGTGCAGCCACGCGTTATCGCCTCAAGTACCAGCGTTTAAGATCAGCATTCGAGTCCCGCTACAATCCTGGCCAAAATGGTTGGGACACTTGGAAATAACCTTAGCCTCCAACGGTCACCCGCTCCCCCGGTCAATGTTGTTCTCTCCAGTTGATGGAGCACACACCGCGTAATGAGAGACAACATTGAACGGGGGCCAGGGGGTTGGGGGCCCAGCGAGATTTGGCCAGGATTGTAGCTAGCTTCACCCATAATAGTTGTCATTGGAACACAACTTAACTCTGCCACTGGAGCTCTTTCCGGAGCTAGCCAGGGCCAATTCTCCACAGAATCCCAGTTAAGTTTATAATTGGAAAAGAGCTAGCTGAGGATCAGACATTCACGTGTGCAGAGCAACACGAACAAATGTCTGATATATCCTAGCATGCAAATTGTATGCGACCCCACGCGCCAGCCAATCGAAGTCAACTTTAGAAACTGTGACATCATTTCAATCGGAAATCTGGACTAAGCTGTTGATTGGACAATTTGGCTGCCATGGTTTTTTAAAACAACGGGTTACGGAAGATAGAAGGCGCCCGCTGAATGGTCACAATCTAGAGGTCAGACGCAGCCTTGTTTTGCATAATTAATCGCTGAATCTGCGCGAATATCATAGACGCAGGCGGCTTTTTCCATAGGCTAGCTCTGAAGCTGCCTTCTGTCTGAACATACCCATATAGAGCTAACTCAGTCTTAAGCATGCCTTATTGGCTTACAGAGCATGTGTTATAATAATCAGCAGAAAAGGACCTGTACTATTTTGACTGATGACAATTTCTATAAAAGATTGCCCACCAACTAATCTCCAATCAATACTAATTAATTACAAAGTTTTGTTTATTTAAAGGTAACCGTGAAGATGAGTCATTGCTGTAGCTTATAATTTGCCGTAGGTCTTTCTGGGCTTCGAGCACTTTTTTGTTTCAAATTAGATTAATTTGATCCGAGATGTGACGAGGTTCCTCCAACTGTTGAGGATCCAACAGGATTTCCTGCATTAATTCAATTGAACATGTCGCAACCGTTGAGTTCACATCGGTGGATGAGGCTTAACTCTGTTAATCTCTTGAAGCTGGTGGCCATTAAGAGAAACCAAATCTGCTTGTTGATAACTTGGATTTCTGTGTGTGGAATTTACAGATCTCCTGTTTATCTGTAATTGTAGGGTGGAGGGGAAAACAACATTAATCACTCCAGGACGACATTTAATTGGATCGTCGGGGCACTTGGGACTTGAACCAGCCTCCAAAGGAGCATCAGGGATAGGACAGGAAACTATCTCTCCTCACCAGAACAGTAAGTCTAATTGCTCCGATTAACCACTTCGCGTCGGATGACATGTTAACACGATGTTTCTATACACAGGCACGGCTGACAGCTCAAAACGTCCAGCTTGCCTCGACTCCTCTGCAGATGACGTCTAAACATGCTACTCCCCCATTTGTTTTGTACACACACACACACACACACCCAGACTTGTTTCACATACCTAGTGTGGACTTTCCTTTCTTTTCGTGTAGTTAAGGAACACCAGTGGAAAAACTCATTTTTCTCAAACTGTGAAAACTCTTACAACCCAATTTTTTTTCAATGATTCCCTTTAGTGTTTCTCTTCATTCTGCTACAGATAAACCTAACCCAAAAATGCCTCTAAACCTGTTTTCCAGAAATGGGGAAACACTGTGTGGACGTGGGCAAGTCCACACTTCGTCGGTGCTACCTACATTATGTGGACGTCTTTTGTTCGGAAGTCCACACTGCGTATGTAAGACAAGCTCACACAAAGTCTGTGTGTTGTACATGTACTTGAACTTGGCCACTGTGCACGGCCTGTTGAGGTACAATTAACGTTCCGTGGGCACAGCCTGAAGTGAGTGACTCTTGCGAATCAGTATTTGTGGTGTTTGGCTGTATATCAAAAGTTGACTGTTATATCTTGCCTTTTTTGAACATCGATCCCGGCAAAAATAATCCCGACACGAACTGGTTAATATTCAGTTAAACATTTCAAATTGAGTATCTCTAAACAATCCGTTCGGCATTAGAAGAGTGCAGTTACCTATTCCAAGTTCGCTTTCCAAATTTTTCTTTCAGTAAAACTTGAAGGAAGTTTCTCGGCCAACCGCATTATACAAATTCAGTTTTGGATCTGCCACTGCCCAATATTTTTGAGATCCCTAGACATACTACAGAGGGTCAAAAGGAAATGCCATCCATGGGATGTAGCTGTGATAAAACAGATTAGATTTTGATAATGTGTGAAATATGACAGGTCTTAGCTAAAGCAGCTCTTGGATATCCTACAACCCACATTCGTATCTCTTGAACCGGATTAGGTGTGGCTAGTAGACACTGGCCCAGGGTCCAGCTTGGGTCATCACTGTCAGTAGCCCGCCAGCCTGTTTATTAGCATCCGGTTTGTAATGCAATGCTATTACCAGTGGCCACCCGCCCTTTCAAGATTTGGACCGTTGAATTAAGGCAACTCTCCAAAGAAATTATATTTTGGACTGCATAATTGGTCCCCCCAAAAAAATCATCAATTATGACTACCTCCTCATCTTGATATTAAGGAAAATACGGAGGAAAGCCTGGATATCTCCACTCTAATTGAATTACAGTGGTCACTTTGATAATTTAACAATCCTCTGGCTGCCTTCTGGGTCAAAAACCTTTTCCTTCTCAGAAGAGCCACTGATGACAGAGTCCCCAAAGCCTCTTATCATCTTTTCCAAGACCTTTTAATTAATTTTCATGATTTGGGGTCACCGTGATTCAATCAGCTTGCCCAATAGTCTGTTTAAAGTTTGCAGTGGCCTGTTTACAAAAACTTAATATCAAACTATGCTAGATTTCCTTTTAATTAGGGAATAAGTTATGATGGGCAACAAGGGACATGGTGGGAATATCTGTTTTGCACATCCCTGTTGTGGTCCTTGTGCTCTTGAGCAAGGCACTTTACCATTATTGCTTCACTAGTGGGACATAAAGCCGTAGGTCCCGTGTGTTGTGTAATGCACGTAAAAGAACACAGTAACATTTATTGCTAAGAGAAGGGGTTTGCCCCGGTGTTTCTGGCAGTGGCTGCAATATGCGCCGCAGCACCTTGTATACCCTTTATGAATATACATACTCTATATTGTTCTCGTATTTCTCATAAACTTCATTTTTGTCTTTAGAAATAGGCATAATTACCAGCGCCTTGAGTACATAATTGTTGGTAGGTACCGGTACGTGCGCTATATAAGATTCCGGTATTACTAAGAGGTACTTTTATTTCATTTACACTAACAACATACACCTGTATTCCTTGAAACTGATAAATATGCTAAATACAATTAAAATGTATTACAATTATGGAAGGGCTCGATCTACCTGAGTAGAAGCTATGGTTGATTCTTATGGCGTGAAAGGGTTTTACCTGGCTTCACAGATTGTGGATAGTAATAGAGGACTTTTATTGGTATAGAGGCTTGTTGTCAATCTTTTTGGAATTGGTTCCTCCTTGTAACCTGTCACGGTGTCACACTTATGGAAGGGCCCGAGTAGAAGCTACGTTTGATTCTCATGACGTGAAAGGGGTCGCCAAAATCTCAGGGTTTTACCCGGCTTCACAGATTGTGGATAGTGATAGAGGACTTGAGGTTTTTGGTAGAAGCTTGTTGTCAATCTTTTTGGAATTGGTTCCTGTCACGGTGTCACAATTTAGGAATCGCTAAGCCGGGCTGTCAGTCATAAACATTTGAGAACATGTCTTCTGAATAATTGAGACGGCATTGCCTTCTTGGTCAGTATCTTCACTGTTGATAGCAAAAAGAGAGATTTTTAAGGATATCTTTGTGGGTATTATATCCCTTCATCTTACGATTTTTCTCTCCTCGAAGGAGAACTATTTTAGTAGGTCTCCACTTCAAAATGATATCATTTTTCTCTCTGTTTCCTTCTAAACCTTCAACACATGAAGGACCTTTTGCCTTGTAGTGAGCAAATCCATTTGAGTAAAAGTATACAGCATAATGACATAGCTGAATTGCTCTCTTTTTTCATAATACTCTGCTATCAGAAAATTCACACTCTCCGACTGAAATTGGGGACAAGATGACTTTTAAGTGAAATTCTTTCAGTCACTCAACTGTCAAAATTGGTCCAAGCTTTACTTTCTGGAAGATATAGCGAGGCACGGTCATCTGGATTTACATCAGAATACGGATATCAGCTAGTGGCATTCTCTGAACTAATAATTCATATCAAGATGGTCCAAAATAAACAGTGATTGGATCTGAGCAAGCCATGCTGATCCTGGCAAGCTTGGTGGATAAGTGGTAGGAAGTCTGCACTAGTAATCAGGAGGTCATGGATTCCTTTCCCAACCAAGTAACCCTTGTGATTGTTTTTTCTCGCAAGTGTGGGTGAAGGGCAAACCCCAATATTACCAAAATAAGTCAAGATAGTCCAGTTGCCAGAATGGTAGAAGTGGGGAGTGCTCCACATCTTTGAGATCCAACTGGAAGAGAAGTGGCATCCATTTTGTTAAAGTAAGTGCCTTTGGAGCTGGATAAACATTAGGTCTCTTGTGGGGGGCAAGAGCTTGTCTTCTTTTCCCAGAAACTGGAGTACCCGCAGATTAAAGTCATGATGAAATGACCCTGGTCAGAGTTCGCGGCCATATGCTGGCTCATTCAATGTCTCCTACTCTGTAATTCTCTTGACATATCTGCCTCTAAGTCCTGGCAACCCCCTGATTGAAAGAATGTCTCATTCGGAGATTAAGCGATCAATGCGAGAAGTTCAATTTCAAATGCTGATCTGCCCTTCATGAGTTCAGCGTACTTTTTCCCCCTGTCTCTTTCACACCTCGATCTGAGCAGGTGACAGATAATATTGGAACATGCTGGGCAGTTAAATGGCTTGTGATTTGCAGTCTTGTTCTGAATATTGGCTAGGGGTCAAATCAGGTCAACCACTGTTTTTTAGCTTGCTGTACTAGCCTGAAGACTAAAGGTGGTGAATTTGTGTTAGGGAGCTTCTCGAATAAGGTCATGTCAATTCAGTGTGTAGTCAAGACCTCTCATAAGGATATATTAATTTTAATTTTTTTTAAGATTTATTTTGACAGACAAATAAATGTTATTATTTGTTGAAGGAAACTGATTTTTGAATGTGAGTCATCATTCACTGTCAAGTAATCGTTTTCCGAACCCAAATGTCACCTTGACCTTCTTGGGACTTTTAAGACATTTTAGAGGTGCATTGCCCCAATATAAATGCTTGTTTCAGATCCAACTCTAACATAAAACAACCCAACTGATTTGTGTGGTGAAAATGAAAGCATGAAGAGGTTTTGCTTCTTTAAGTTGGACCTGATTAAATATTATTTTCTAATACATGAGCAGTTTTAAACAATTTAGTAGCATTGCTCAGAAAAAGTCTCATCTCTAGTACATCAATCACTTTGGGTGAAAAGAAAAGTTCAAAGTAGCCGTCCCGTTGCCTGGGGTATACTGCAAGTTTGAGCATGGGGAATTGCTGCACAACATTTTCTCCACTGGATTTACAGGACGGGAATGTGTATTTGGAACCTCATGATTTCCAGCATTAGGAAAGGAAGTCTAATGTCCGTGACAGAGCCAATTTACCATAATGTCTCATTCATAAAAAGCTAAGACATATTCCCGTTCCTACTGGTCGAGAGCCCGTCACGTGGCTGATCTTAACGGTTGATAAAACACCCGCTGGCTGGTCTTAAACACTTTTCCAGTGTCACTTAAAACTTGGACTCCTATTTAAACTTGGACTCCTTTTACCCTATATTAGTTGAAGGTTCACAATCTTCGGTTTAATAGGCATGGGCGATACTACCAATGAGTCCAAATTTCATATAGTCCTAAATTCACACTACACTGGCACAGCTACGACATCGCGCAGTTCGTGCAATGCGTGTTTTGACTGTTCGACTGAAAAGGTAACACACTGAGTATACAGTGTTTAAATACGTTGGTGAAGGGCAAAACCTAATTTGATAAACATCACCCCCGACGCCAAAAAAAAAAAAAAAAAAAATTAATCTTATGAATGGTGTTTGGAGTTTCGGGTCATTATCAGCATCCAGACTCCAAACCAGTCTTAAACATAGTGTTTAAAACCAGCCAAGCATGTGTGATTCAGAGAAATGATCCAAAACTCCTAGTCAGTGTAAACTCCTATACCATTACTAGATGGTGGATGTATAAGATTGGAAAAATACAAGTTTCAGATTTATTAACTGAGCTCTGTCACAGATATTTCATGCTGGAATT